CGGACTTTGCAGCTGGTTCTAGTAAAAAGGCTTCTCTATCCTGTCCCCGTGGAGAGTCCCCACCTGCTTCACTGGTCTGGGTGGTAGAGTGCTTATGATATCTTTCTTCAGAAAGACTGTCTTGATTGTCTACTCAAGGACTGGAATCCTGTCTCTCAACCATAGCACTGTGGTGGGATCCTATTCTGTACTGCATGCCCCTCCCATGTGTGGGGTGGCTGAGGTCACCACCACGCTGGTCCCTACTCTCTGATGGCGACCTTTCCCTTGGCCATGTTTTGCAGATGAGTTCACTCCCAAATGCTTGGCTCATTCTGTGACTGCTTCTACCTTCTGTATCCCTGTTTTCTCTGGGACATCTTGTCCAGTAGTGTACAAAATCAAGCTGTTGTTCTGATATGGCACAGTGGAGGCTTAATCCAGCTCTCTGTATACGGGGGTTTTGTAAAAATGAAGTGCTGGATCCAAAAACTTTATTCAACAATATAAACTCAGCAAACATTTCTTTATTACATACTATGTGCAAGGCATTTTTCCTAAGCTATAGGGTTATATCAGGAAATGAAACAAAGATCCTGCCCTCATAGATCTTCTATTCCAGTGGGATGATTAGCTAATAATTAATTGTGTAGCTATTTGGTAAAGCCATCTTGGCACATTAGGGAAAATGTTTCAGGCTCTAAATCAGAGCTCTGGTGAGGCTGATGGAGAAAATCAGCTTTTAGGACAGTTAGATGCAACCAATCAGATAGTTACTGAAAGGAAAGAACTAGTAGATTCTTAATGGCTTATTGAGAAAATGTGGTGACTGCTTTGGAATGGTGACTGTGCTTCAGGATCACCCTTACTTAGTCTTGCACATTTCTCTGTCTTTGACTCTCTATCCTCTCCTCTGACCCTCAAATATCCATCGGTACATTGCCAGGGGCACAAAACAGTGGACTGGTTTCCATCCCGAGGATCATCCAGCCCTCTGCAGCTTCCTTCTGCTAATCTCTGACCTTGTGGTCACTTTACTTCTCTGAGGCTTTCCACCCATTCTAAATCAAGAAAGGGATACTTGGAAATTAACAAACTAGTTAAGTTTTCTCCCTTTAACTTTTCTCATAAATTCTTAGGAGGAGATAGGGTTTTAAAAAATTTTCAACTCACATCATTACTATGGTAATATGACCTTATCCTCTTAGAAGGCATTCATGGGCAGAAGGACAAATACGTGACCACTAGCCAGCAGGTTGCCTCTAGGACAGCAGAGGTATGGAACGTTTTTCTGATAGTCATGCTTCCTTCCAATGAAAATTCCTCAAAAGTACACCGGCAAGGGCCAGATGATTGTATAAAGAGCTATTTTGAGCTGCTCAGTGTGAAATATTGAACCTACATTTTCTTTTCGAAAACTGCTAGGGTTTTCAATATACTTTTCTCTCCCACCATTCACCATGTACAACCCAGACTAGCCTTTGTGAGCCCAAATAAATGCCCCAGTTGCAACTTGCAACCTAATACCAGAAGGAGTAGTGCTAGCAACAGATCCTCTGAAAAGCCTGGTGATGTCTGTCTATACAGCACTGTTTTTCAGCATATTTTGCCTTGCCCTCTCACTTCCTTGAATGAAAAACATTCTTTTTTTGTAAGTCTGACAAGGTAGTAACAAGCCGGCAAGTTCATTTCAGTGGATGATTCACAAACAAGATGTCGACAGTATTTTATGATTATAGATCTGAAAACCTGGTCTCTAGGGTGTCAGGGTGGCCGAGTGATCTCAGGCACCAGACTCAAGCTCCACTTCCCCACACTAAAGATTCCAGTCTTACAAAAGTGTTCTTAGAGATTGATAGATATGTTTTAAAAAAGAAAGAAAAAAATGGAAGGAAGCGATATAGTCTTTTTCATTAGAACAAATGATGGAAAGCATTGACCCCTCCTAGCACTCTGCCTTTCGTGAGCTTTTTATTTCATTGTCTTTGACCTGCAATCATAATTTTTATAAGAAATAGTTAGTAAAAGAAGCCAAGCGGTAACTCAGAAGATGGGTGGCTGGAAATAAATGTTTTCCCCAAGCATTTATTACCCTTCGGAAACGTCCGTCTGAAAAGTTAGTCCCATAGATCCACTTCAGCAGTACGGTGGAGAGAAGCAGTGGCTGTCATTAATTTTTAAGGCCAGCTGACAGCTTTCAGTCCAAGAAAAAAGCTTAGCTTTGCATTTTGAATAATGCAGAGATTTTCATTAGTTCAAATAGGAATCAAAATTATAAATGATATGCTGCCTGCCAGAAAACTGACATTATATTTTCAGAATAAGCATTCCAGAAGTATACTTAGACAAATTGGAAAGCTACCAGTATTGTTTCCTTATTTTATGTGTGTATTTTTGAAAAATAATTCAAAGGGCATGTCTTCCTTGCAATGAGTTGGTAATGTCACAGACAAAGGGCAGGTCATGATTGCACTTAAAGCTAAGTGTTGGCACAAATTTTACTAGTCTACAAGATCATTGCAATTGGTTTCAGACATTACTTTTTGCTCATATCTGCCTTCTGAAGACCCTGGAACAATTTAATTATATCTGCACTTTTGATTTCAACTTGTTTCTATAAAAAAATGTTAAATTACCCTCAGTTGAGAACTATAAGACTAAAAGGTTTATGATTGCTTGGTTTTGGTCATATGTACTTTCTTTTGAGCTCCGTCTGACTCTATTATTTGAATTGATAGCAATACAACTACTATATCCAGATGTCTCTCGGTAACTTAATGTATGGCCCTAATAACAAACACTAGAATTAAACCATTAATAGAATAGGCTGCTAGCAGCTGCTTCAATCCTTGTTTGATGGGTATTAAAATAGCTGATTCAGAGATTTCTACAGAGAAACCTAAGCTAATTAAAGACATCAAAGTCAATGGAATTGCAATTACCTCCTAGTAGCAATACAATCTATATACACCGACATTATTACTCTAAAAAGAAGGCTGATAGAATATTAAAAAAACATTTACCCATTTAAATGAGCCTTTTATTTTGCATGTCATTTTGCATTTCCCAGTTTAACTTGACATCATAAGTCTCCAGGAAAAGCATTTTATGTATTTATTCTACTAGATAAAAGACAACTATTGACTAATCTGCCTTTTGTCCTACAGTAGTGTAGGACTGTGCATTGGCATCTTTCGAGAGTCTCTAAGCAGTTCAGTGAAGAGGAAAAGAAGACCTTTCTTATGATACTTATTCAAAAGTGCTTTATAAAAGATTCAGCTGAAACTTATCAATATATCAGGGTGTTTTTTTTTTTTTTTTTTTTTTTTTTTTTTTTTTTGAGACAGAGTCTCACTTTGTTGCCCAGGCTAGAGTGAGTGCCGTGGCGTCAGCCTAGCTCACAGCAACCTCAAACTCCTGGGCTCGAGTGATCCTTCTGCCTCAGCCTCCCGGGTAGCTGGGACTACAGGCATGTGCCACCATGCCCGGCTAATTTTTTATATATATCAGTTGGCCAATTAATTTCTTTTCTATTTATAGTAGAGACGGGGTCTCGCTCTTGCTCAGGCTGGTTTTGAACTCCTGACCTTGAGCAATCCGCCCGCCTCGGCCTCCCAAGAGCTAGGATTACAGGCGTGAGCCACAGCGCCCGGCCAATCAGGGTGTTTTTTTTGTTTTTTTTTTAAGTATCTATTCAGCTCTAATTCCAGTAACTTCCTTTAGGTACCAATTCCCGTTAAAATAGTTCACATTCAACCATTGCTTTTGGCTGTATGGCCTGTCTTAGCTGTGAGTTGAGTGCATGCTGCCGACTTTTTGTACATTAACTTCACTAGATTGTGGAACTACCAGTAAGACTCCTGAAAATACAGTTTTTGAAGCTAACTTCAAAGTGAAAAAGTGTTGTCACTACAACTACACTTTCAAAGTGTCAGAAACTTTTGGCTTATCTAGCATTTTAGAAAAATCCCCCAGTAAGCATAAAATATATGATGTAATCTATTTGTATGTTTTCACTGCCTGATAGGTTTCATCTCAGGGTCTAATATTTCTTCCATTTGGTCACATAAATTGAGAAGAGATTCTATTGTCAACTGGATTCCAGTTCATATACCATGCATTGCATCTATTTGATATGGAGCATTCATCAGACCATTTTGAAGTTATGTTTTATTTAACAGAAAGAATTTAAATGGCTAGCTCCTTAGTCTCATTTGTTAGAGTTCATTTTACCATTCAAACAGTAATGCAACAATATAACCAAATCTTTGGTTTGGTGAGGTGGGGTTTGTTTATCTGAAATCATTCATGTTTTAAAAATAAATTAAAATTTTCTTTGGTATTACATGAACCCATAAGAAAGTCATGCCAAGGAGTACTTTATTCATTAATGGGTGCTCAATAAATGCCATTGTTGACCTTATGTTGCTAAATCTCTTATCATATAACTTCAGGTCAAAGTATGGTTTTTATTTGAATGTTCCGTTAAAACATGGCTTAGCTTTTAAGCATCCTGTTAATTCTTTTTTAGCATCTCTTGTATTTGTTTTTTACATCTCAACTGGAAGGTTGTGATTTTTAGTTTCCTTATAGCATCTTATTTGGTTTATATACATACAGATCTTGCTATAATATATTATATTGATATTATTACTATAAATCAGACTTCAAAATTCTGCCACCAGTATATTTGCAACTGCTAATAGATAAAACAATCCCTGATTATCACTCAGCATAATATTTAGGTCTCCTATGAGAAGTTTCGAAGATATGATATGACAGCAATCTGTAAGCTTCTGAGTCTCTGTGCACGATTCCACAACTTGGATTGATAGTTTCAATATCTAGTATCACCTTATCTGTGTGTAGTTCAGTCTGTCAACTTTTGATTATAACTTTACTATGCTGAGTTAAATCATTTTAGATTTCAAGTATGAAAGATTTCATAGCCCTGTAATGATTAGTTTTGGAAGCTGTGTCTCACCCAAAATGAACTCACAGGTAGATATAAAGGTACTTACAAGTGTCTTCTTCTTCCATGGAAATACTGATCACATAACAGGCATACACAAAACCAACCAACTGCAAAGGAGAAAAAAATGTGCTTTAAGAATCTTTGCCAAAATTCCAGAAAGAGACAATGTAATCCAATAGAGAACGAATACATGGTAATAACTTCTAAGAATTTGTAATAGGAAAAAAAATCTTCTTTTTATATAATAGCTGTGATTTAAAAGAGTCTTTTCATTTCTATGTAGCTTTACTAGCTTTTTAAAACACACAGGAATAGGAAAAAGAGTTTCTAGATATTTCGCTTAGCTTTTGATTTGGGACTTAGGGTTCTCATATTTTAAAATCTGCACAGATTATTCAGAATATATATTTTAAAGTTTTGACTATTTTTGACTATTGAGCAATTTGTTCTAGTATTCATTATTACTAATAATAAAACTATTTTAATGTTTAATAGCTACAAAGGAAATCAAATTCTGCCAAATCCAGGTCATTCAATAAGCCAGTTATATATTGAAGAAAAAAATGGCCCATAAACCCATCACTAATAACTTTCTCAATAATAACTAATAACTTTCCTGCCAATCTTTTTTCTCATAGTTGTGATATATTATAGTTGTACTATTATGATCCAAGTTAATACGCTTCAAAAGCTGAATTGTTAACGGCCCCATAAATTTACACCATTTAAGCCCACTGAATGTATTTAATCAATATTTTATTATTGAAAGTTGTTTTCAAATTATAAATAATATTATGATAAACACTAATACTTTTGATGTATTTTTGATGATCTGATTGCTAGAGGTAGAATTATCAGAGCAGGAGTGGCACTAAATATTTTTATGATTTTTTTTTTACACATTATTGAATTGATTTTCAAAAAGTTTTATCATCTCTTATCCTACCATAGCAACAACTGACGATGCTTACTTTGCCATACCCTTAGTAGCATAGGATTGTGCCATTTAAAAATACATGTGAAGAATATAAACAAATGGCATCTCTTCATTTATTTATTTTTGCTATAATTTTACTTCATCTGAAACATTTTCATATTTGATTAGCCATTTATATTTTTCTTTTGTGAATTATCTGCAGAAATTCTTTGCCCATTTATTAACTCGATGTTCTTTTCATGAATTTATTTGAGATCTTACAGGGTGAAGCCTTTACTATATTTGTTGTGAATTTTTTTTCCTTATGTCAGCGTGTGGTAGTGGTGGCTTCATAATGTTGGGGCATTTTCTTACTAAATTATATATTGGAAAGTATCTGTCAACAACTTTCTAGTTCTTGGTGGGCTCTCCCTTCGGGGTGTGAGTGTGTTTATGTGTGTACCTGCAAACATACATACGTGTTAATCAAGAACTCTCTCTTGTATGACTTTTCAATTGCTATGTAAGAAATTGCCAAAAACTTAGTGTCATAGGACAACATAAATTTATTTTCTTATAGTTCTGGAAGTCGGAATTCTGAAACGGGCATTACTGCGCTAAAATCAAGGTGTCAGCAGGGCTGTACTCCTTCTAGAAGACCTGGCAACACCTGGTTCCTTGCCTTGTCTAGGTCCCAGAGGATGCCTGCATTGCTTGGCTTACGGCCCCTTCCTCCATCTTCATGGCCAGCAACATCAGGCTGATCCCTTCTCAGGCTGCCTTCTCCTGGTTCTCCTCTTCTGCCCCCTGTTCTACTTTTAAGGTCACTGGTGATTACACTGGATCCACCCGGACAATTTAGGGTAATGTCTCCATTTTAAGGCCACATGATTATCACTATTGTTTCTATCTGCAACCTTCATTCATTCCTCTTTGCCACGTAAAATGATTTATTTACAGGTTCCAGGGACTAGGGCGTGGAAGTCTTTTGGGGACCATTGTTCTGCCTACCACATATGTGAACTTATGCTCTCAGCAGACTATCTGCACAATTGAGGCCACAGTAAAGATGGAGAATTATACTGAGGATATTACTTAAATTTTAAGGTATGGAGTATGGTCATTACATCCTAATTTTTATAAAATGACTTGACAGGAAACAAACATAATTTGAGAGGCTACATTTCATACCAATATATTCCTCTGAGTAAATCTTTTAATACTGGGGAGAAAACTGCTATTATCAATTTGGTCTTTATACATCTACTCCGTGTCTTTACACCTGGACTGTAGATAAGTATCCTAAAAGCCAAACATAATTATTTCAAGCAGCACTTATTTCAAATAGCATTCTTAACAATTTCAAACTTTGGGGGTATTGTCTTTTCACTTCCATTAGATCATCATTGTTTTTATTTTGCATTAAACCTGATGGGAAGCTTGTACTAAGGAGAAGGATACATGTCAACTCTACTATTTAAAAAATCATACATATGTCCATAGTTAGTTTTCTCTTCAGTCTATGGATTCTTTCAAGAAACCATCTAATCCATTTGAAATTTTGTGAGCACTAGTTTTCTTATTAATAAAAATTGGTAATATAATCTGTAAATCTATCTTAACTGGGCACAGCGATTGTAATTCATCTCAATACACACAAGTGCCGTTGTTCACCCTATTATACTATGGAGTTCTTGCTTTCACACAGGCCACTGCTAGTAGAGTCACGCACCACATAATGATGTTTCGGTCAATGACAAAACACATATATGATGGTGGTCCCATAACAGAGCTGAAAAATTCCTGTTGCCCATTGATGTTACAGCCATTGTAGCACGATGCATTACTCACATGTTTGTGGTGATGCAGGTATAAACAAACCTACTGCACTGCCAGTTATATAAAAGTGTAGCACATACAATTACTTACAGTACATAATACTTGATAGCAATAATAAACAATTATCTTACTGGTTTATGTATTTACTATAGTATATTTCTTATTGTTATTTTAGACTGTATTCCTTCTACTTATATAAACACAGTAAGACAGCCTCAGGCAGGTCCTTCTGGAGGTATTCTAGAAGAAGGCATTATTACCATAGATGGTAGCTCCGTGTGTGTTATTGCCCCTGAAGATCCAATGGGATAAGGTGGGGAAGTGAAAGACAGTGACACTGGTGAGTCTAGCCCTGTGTAAGCCTAGGTTGATGTGTGTGTTTGTGTCTTAGTTTGTAACAAAAACATTTAAAAAGTAAAAATTTTTTTAAAGTAGAAAAAAGCATTTAGAATAAGGATATCAAGAAAGAAAATATTTTTGTACATCTATGCAACGTGTTTATGTTTTAAGCTAAGTGTTTTGTTAAAAAAGTTGAAAAGTTAAAAAAGTTAAAAAGTTTATGAAGTAAAATACTGACAGTAATGTAATTTAATGTAATTCCTAAGGTTAATTTATTATTGAAGAAAGAAAAATATTTTAAATAAATTTAGTGTGACCTGCGTGTATGGTATTTCAGTATTTATAAAGTCTACAGTAGTGTACAGAAATGTCTGAGGCCTTCACATTCACTCACCACTCACTCACTTACTCAGCCAGAGCAATTTCTAGTCCTGCAAGTCCACTCATGGTAAGAGCCCTATACAGGTGTATCATTTTTTTTTTTAATCTTTTATACCATATTTTTTACTGAACTTCTTCCATGATTAAGATATGTTTAGACACTCAAATACCATTGTGCTACAATTGCCTACAATATTTTGCACAGTAACATGCTATATAAGCTTGTAGCCTAGGGGCAGTAGCTATGCACTGTAGCCTAGGTGTGAAGTGGCGTACACCATTTGGGTTTGTGTAAGTACACTCCATGGTGTTGGCACAGTGACCAAATCGTCTAAGGCTGCAATTCTCAGAACATATCCTTGTCGTCAAGTGATTGCATGACGTATGACCTTCTGACATGTACGCCTGGTGAGGCCACTCATGTTAAACTATAAGTCAGATTTTGTTAAAAGCTAACCTATCTTAGGTTTTTAGATGAAAATAAATAGAAAAAGAAGTTGTAACATTTCATCCCCATGCTTCCATGGATTATCTTGTGTACCCCCTTCAATACATGTGTTCTACATTGTCATCTTGTGTACCTCTTTGAATGCATTGCTGTGGATAACTTACTTCGAAGATGATCCTGTAGCTTGAAATCTAGTTCAGTGAGTTCAGGAGATACAAGTTCTAGCGACATAAACATTGATAGATCAGATTTCTTTTGAAACCTAAAGAGCTAGACCAAGTTATAGCCAAACACACCAAAAGTCTCTTCCTATCCAGTGTGACTAAGATGACTGACACTTTGGGTTTTCTTTCCATTGCACTGAGAGGAAGGAGAAGAGTAGTAGTGGAATGGATGACTCATGCTACAATTGAAACATTTCTGAACTAGGTCTGTTATTTTGCAGATAGACAGAAATTCAGATGCTGCATTGCTAATTCTATCTTGGAAGTTGCTTATTGAATAATAAGCCTTTAGTTGTTTGATAACTTTTGTATTCCAATAATTTTTCCTCCACAGCAAATTTAGATAAGTTAAATCTCACAAATCATTATTTTTTCATCTCTATAGGTGACAGGTAAACAAAGATACATCAAAACATTTTGATTGAGTGCTATTGGACTTTTCTAGTGTAAAGCTAAGGCCTTCATGATAGCTTGGTGCTACAATAAACATTATTTTCTACTGTTGTAATAGACTATACTTTTAAAGAAAAAATATAACACTTCTAACTATACACCTTTATGTTGATTTGAAGTAATGTAAATTATTACTTTGTCTTTACTGATGTCTTTTAATATGAGAATGTTGTCTAAAGTATATATTAGCTTATTGGTAGCCTCTTTGACAGGGAACATATATTTGGATGTTTTCTAATATTGGCTTATTCAATGTGGCATGCTGAGTCCATCAGCACTGATTGGCTGGTACATCAACATTTGCTGGTTGATCCCTTGGCATTTACTGGAGAAAGCTGAATGGATTGGTAAGAAGGTCCCTTGAGAATAAACTCAGTCGTGCTGAGACATGGTTCTCCTGTGTTAATATGTAGAGTTAATTAGATGGAGTTGAGTCTGGAAATTAAACAGGAGACCACTTTCCCTTGAAGAAAACTTCCATCCTGGAAGAGAAACCTCAACCTGAAA